GAGGTGCGAATGCGAATTTATTTACAAAGTTTATGCACGTGTTACCCCAAATCTCTAATTTTACCCTTAAACAGTCAAATGGCAACAATAAAATTTGTCTCTACTGTAAGTTCAGCACGTGTTAATATACAGTCTGACCGCTTTGACATGACCGCAACTATGCGCAATCTTCAGCAAACGTTTTATTTGTTTACATTACGATGTTTATGTTTTTTCTGCAAGATATTTTTGGCGGAAACGGTAAAGCAATGCGGATTGCGGAAGTTGAAAATTTTACGAAATGACATGTTTGCGAAGTGCAAACCGCGATTTTTTAATCAAACAAAAATTTATGACATTCGAGCCGCGAGATTTCATACCTACTGAAATTATATGATATTAGAGCCGCGATATTTCAGACAAAAATAGGACTTTTCCAGACTAGCATTGATGTACACAGAGTGCTCGTGGGGACCTGCACAAAGAAGGCACCTTTGGGGTGAATTACATCCTTCAGCAAGGTGCCACAACTTCTGACACTTGTAGCATAGCATTGGTGGAGCCACAAAAGGTCGCACAGGATAGGATACATATCCTATTTTCACTCTGCTTGGTAGAGTTTTTCCCTCAAATACATAGTGGCAAAGCAGAGAGTTTTTTAGACTCTCCCTCAAGTTCATTTTTGAGTCCTATAAGTAGACCAGTAAAGTATCATGCATAGTGGCAAAGCAGAGAGTTTTTTAGACTCTCCCTCAAGTTCATTTTTGAGTCCTATAAGTAGACCAGTAAAGTATCATGGATACAAGTTTTATCATGCTTAAGAAATTGGTTTAAATTTTGAGTAAATGAGGAAATTAAAAGTGAACTGGTTCTAGAAAAGCTCTGGTTTGCCACTATGCAGTCAAATACAACCTTAAGGGTAGCAGATGGCTCACATTTTCCATTGTGGAATCTGTCTAGGCACACAATGTTCACAACAACAAAGTCACCAGCAGTGGTAATTTCTTTTATTTCATCTATGCTAGCACTGGGATCAATTGGACCAAACACTCCACAGACTCTCACATCCGATCCAGGGTGATAGCAACAAACTGACCACTTGCCAATTGTTGAAACTGCAAGGAAGTTGAACATTTCTTGACCACTAAGTGAACGCAATTCCAAGGCTATTAATTGTTGATGCGGATTTGTCAAAATAATTAGTTCACTAATGGCTCCAAAAGGCAAGTCCCTTATGCCTTTGGTCAGGCCAATTGGATCCTTCAGAAACGTTATGGCATCGCCATCAGGACCCAGTGGCTTCACCAAAATAGTCTGACCAGTGACCACTGACCAGACCCAGCACTTTTCAGGTTAGCATTTGATGGGAGTTTTATTCCAGGTCCACTACTGGATTGGGAATCCCTTGACATTCCTTGACAAGCCATTGCTACACGCTTCACTTTTGTACCAACAAGATTTTCTGAAGACCCACTTGTTTCCCAAACCCTGCGTTTTTGGCTGGCACCAACATTCACATTTGGAGTTGCATCAATGAGACTATCAGTATCTAGATCTGAATCCTCAACTATAGTACCCTGAAGTCTGAACATCCATTCCATCAATCACAATTTTATTCACAAATTCACAATGACCCCTGAGCCAGAGCCAAAGTCAGCTGGAGGGCCAAACCCTGACCCAGCAAGACAGTCTGAGACTGAGTCCATACCTAACAACAGACAACTCAACTAACAACTAACAAAAAAGATGGCAACTTGCAGTCAAAATGAAGGAAGTAGGAGACAGAGTAAAAAAATAGAATAAAAACGAATGACTGACAAACCCTTGTGGGAGAAAGCCAGTCGTGTTACTTAATGACTTTGGTCTGGAAATCCTTCAAAAATTAACTCTAAGAGAACTTTTATCAGTAAATCAATCAGAGAGCGCAAAATGGCACACCTGCTTACACAACGAACGCAACTGACTTTCTCACTCCCAGGGCACTGATGCTTGATAGTGATTTTTTTTTTATAATTGATTTTAAGACTTCTGGTATGAATATATCACACCTCCCAGCCTGAGCACAACTCTTTGTTGAAAACTTGTATTATCTTGCCGCTTTACTTTCAATTTGGGTTTCTGTTGCTCACCAACCGGTGATTATTGTGTAGAAGAGACAAGAGAATTAGGCACTGAGTATAATAAATATGGCAACATTTTGTGACGTTTCATTGTTGCTGACGCGTAGTGAAGTGTTTTGAGAGTCACGTGAAGGCAACAGAACTTATGTAACGCACACGGTTTTTTTATAGTTTTTCATTTCTCGATGCGTCCTTAATGTGTCGGAATATACCGCGTTTACCCTAGTGACAATCTGATAAACCAGAGATTTTTTTAGAATAAGTTCATTTTCAATTTCCTCATCTACTCAAGATTTCAACTAATTCTTATTTATGATAATGCTGGTATCCATGATACTTTACCAGTCTACTTATAGGACTCAAAAATGAACTTGAGGGAGCGTCTAAAAAACTCTCTGCTTTGCCACTATGAATTGTTCTATCAACATGAGGGTCATGATGACATGACCTGCAGCCTGCCTTCTTGCTGTGGAACATGTCTATTTTTTGAGCAATGTCTAGAGCATTCCTGTCATTTTTGGAGCCATGAGATCCCCACTAATGGCTAATTTAATTACCTTCTATCTAATTATTGACAAATGGGCACAATTGGGCCATAAGATATTGAATATTGTGAGAATTTGTCTCAAGTGAATAGCACTGGGTGTCCTGGGGCTGGATTATCAAAACTTCGTAACTTTTTGTATTTAACGACAAAAAAGTTATGTGGCACGTAAGTACACCCTAATTTTGGCATTATCAAAACTTTCGTACGCAAGTCTTAGCTAAAAGCGTAAATATTTTTCCCGCGCAAATGTTTCCCGCTCAAATGTTTTGATAATACCACCGCTAGTATTACGTTGTCTTGGCAACGCTACTCGTAAGTCGATTTTGCGTACTTACGAAGTTTTGATAATACGGCCCCTGGACTCCTGCCATGGTCAGGAAGATGTGCCAGGTGCGCGGGAATTTATTTTGTCATTTTAACGACCTTCGCGGTGCGCCAAACTATGCTGGTAAAAAAATGCGCCGTGCGCCGTGCGCCGTACTTTAGAAAGCTAAAATAGTTCTACTATTTTAGTCGACAATATACAATATGACTTTGGAGAAAATTTCTTCTAAAATAAAGTTCTAGATTTCTCATTCACCAAATTTCCGTATCAAGAAAAATCATATATTATTGAAAGATAATTAAAGGCATACTGTACTGAGTAATGTGAGTATTACGTCTGTTCCTCCACATACTGCTCGTGCGCGGCAGAGCGACGTAGAATTGATGGCTGGGATTGCGCGAACACGTGCGCGAAGAGAATCAATTTTCATTACATTGCGCCAACTGAGCACAGCAATAGCTTAAAAAAAGTGAAAATGCGCGAGAAAATTCACTGAAAACATACATCATCCTGAGTGTGGGACTCCTGGTGGATTCTAAATGACCAACCACTTCCTACAATTCCATCATTTCCCAAAGTGAAAAATATAGCAGAAGCAAGAAGCCACCTTGATGATACTGACCTTTTATTTGGAATATAACTCAGAATTTTCCTAAAATGGCTGGTAAAAATGATTGTTTCATGCTGCAATTTATGGTTAAAAAATTACTACTGAAAATTACTACCAAATAGTGGAAATTAATCACTAATGGAAATTGGCCATTTTTTCACTTTTTAACTGAATAAGTAAGAAAAAGGCCAAAGGAGTGGGTGAAATTGGCCAGATGGCATCATTTTTTATTTGATTCATGGGTGGCTTTTGCCAAATTTTTCACTTATGCCACTAGGAGTGATCTTACTCTTGTAAATAAGATGAACCGCGCTGGTACTAAATTTTACTTGTAGATAGGGCTTTTGAATAATTTATCTAGAAATAAAAATTAGAAAAAAATAGTACATTTTAGCCTGCAATTTTCCAAAATCAACAGGGAAATAATCTTTTTAGCCCTTGAATATTTGGAACATTCTTACCTATATTCCAGATTTGGTTGGCACCAAAATATTAGCTAAGATATAAAAAGAAAGGCTATTAACTGTCCAAGCTGTGAAGTATGGCGTTTCAGGTTGAGATATTGGAATATTTTCAAGCTCTCCCATCAGCCATCTTGCCCATGAATAGGCATGCTTGATCAATCACAAATTATGGATCAACACCAATGTCACCACATGTATTCCCCCACTTGTGACAGTTCCTTGTATTTGTCTACTACAGCAATTGTAATGTGTGTGTTAGTGCTGCTCATGGCACATGAGCTGCATCAATCATAATGCATATATTCATGGTGGAATTCTAGGAAATGGTTGGTCATTTAGATCCACCTGGATGGTGTTGGTGAGAGCACTCCAGCGCTAGTCACTTGAGGAGATGGGGTGCAATTTGAAGGCCTTCCGAGAGTGCTATTTGTTTACGATGGGACACATATTTCTTAAGGAAATGGCAGTTATTTGGGTGCTGGAGCGCAGTAATGTACTTGTTTGGACCATCCCGCTCCTATTGAAGCGAGACGAGCATGCTGCTAGCCCACTCATATTGGAGCACGCACTCCTGCTGACCTGCTCATATTGGAGCGTGAAGCTGTCCCGCTCCTATTGAAGCAAGTGTGCTCCTATTTATGGCCATTGCGATCCTCAATTACATAGGTACATGTTGATTTAGAAGGCATTTAGAATGCCTTCATGTGCAAATGTCCATGCTGATCATTGTGCATTGACCTTATTGATAGTAAATTGTGATCTATGGAGAAGCATAATTGGCAACTGCCATCTGCCTCAATTGACCTCAGTTGCCTTACCCATGTTATGCCATACGCTACATTTTGGGTAACTGTGGTCTGCATTTTTACACAACATGTGATGTGTACTTGTTAATTTATTACCTTCCTCGATTTCATCTGCTACCTTCAATAACACCTTGGTTGCCACTTGGCAACTACTTCACTTGACTTGCTGCTCATAAGAAAGTATAATACTGGTCAGAATTACAATTAGTAAGGTACAATTATTACATAATAGTTTGAAAGCTTTTTCAATCATGCTAGAAAACTGAGCCACAACTTTTGAAAGTTGTAGCTCAGTTTTGTTTACAAAATAGATCATTTCCATTGGAAGTTTGCATCACAAGTGCTGTGGCCATGCTAGTGGTATTGATGGTGGTTGGCTGCTGCTAGATAGCATAAATCTTAGTTATTGCTGAAATTTTGCTGCTGCAGTCATATATTTTGTTTTTCACTCTAAATTTATTGGCTCATTTGTCTACCTTTATTAACAAATATATACATACAAGATAATTCATTAATCTACTAGTCAAATCCTTGCAATCAGGCATGGAATATGTGCTTTCCTAGTTGTAACTTAAGCTTTCATGTCATTTTTGGAGCTGAGAGATTTCCACTATGTGAAACATCTCCTATCATCTAACTGTCAGCAGAAGTGCATGATGGGCACATGATATTCCATATTTATTGAAATAAGTAACTTGGGAGCCCCTAGACTTTAGTAATATGTTAGAAAATTCCAATCTTGCTTGATAATTCAAAAAAAAAAAAAAAGCAGACAAGCTCTTGTTGCAGCTTGGTAGTTGGCACCTTGCACAATCTTACCCTGTTGTCTTTGAGGCAATGAATTTGGCATCCTGAGTCTGGCCAGTCATAATTAGAGCTTTCTTAACTGTTTTTGGAGTTGCAAAATGGCTAAGCTAGCTGAATTGTCTCCCATTTAATTGGTATCAACATTATGATTGAACCATGAGATTTCAATTCTATCCAAAAAAGTTACTGGAGCCATGAGATTTCCAGAAAAAATTTTACAATCTTACATCATCATGCATAAAATGTAAAGATATTGAATGAAATCTTAGAGCCAATTAGGAAATGCAATATTAATGGTTACTAGAATATCTCTTGCTTGCATAATGCACCCTGGACCACAAACATATTGTCTGTGCAACTAATAAGTTATCCAAACTTGGATAAAGTGTAGGTTTCACAAAATTTGCTTGTTTAAAATACCCTGCTCTCAAGAGTTAATGGTCTACTAAGAACATAATCAATCCTTTCACTTAGCACAGAGCATTGAACAGAAAAAAACCACAGTTTTCAACAAATTTCACAGTTTGATCCAACAGATCATCTTTGAAAAAAATTTAAGTACATATTGCTAAGAATCCAATGCATTGCTAAGTGCAAGTTAGATTGAAAGAAGTATTTTACATAAGGAGTGTATATTTACTGTTGCATGGAAATTAGATTCTTACTAATTGATTCGCTGATTAGTGATAAATGCCTCTAGAGACCAATTTTTCTGACCAACTTTCATTTATAAGCCTCAGAAGAATCAGATATTTGTAAACCTTCCAGCTTATCTCCTTCCCATTGAATTGTGAATATTGTGCAATGCTATATTCCACATTATGTAGACAATGAATTATAATGGAGACTGATTTGATTTTTCTGAATTCAAATGTTATGCATACAATCAGATCACATGTGGGTCAAAATGTATTTTTAAAAAATCTGACCTGCATAATTCTCTGATTTCATAGTTGAATAAGAGGTATTTGAAAATGGTTCTGAGAGCAATTTTGAAGATGAAAAATGGTTCCATTTAAAGTACCATTAGTACAATTACAGTGAGCAAAAGGAAATTAACAATATCTCAAAGTTATGTTAAGGACCAAAAAGTTATTGCTCGTCTTGCTGCTTACATGTTTGCCTTTATAATTGTATTCTCATCTCAATGCTTATACATTAATTTTGATGCTTAAATATGTTCATGTCATTATGATTTTATGCTTGTCTCAATGCTTTTATGATCATTCTCATGATTGCATGCCCGCCTTGATGCTCATATACTTTTGATGTTACAGTTAAGAAGGCAGTGGAAGCAGCGAGCTGTGAGCCATGCAGACTCCTGGTGGTTCTAGCCGACCTGCTCGGCGGTGTGGTCGGCCTAAACGCTTTGATGACTCGGACTCTGATGATGCTGCTTCCCAATCAGGTCAGTCAAAATGAAGCTCATTTCAATTCAGGCTATTTAACCATGACCAAACCATTGAAATTGAAACCATTGAAAGGAGTAATCTAGAAAATAGTAGATCTTTAAAAAAAAGAAAGCCTTTGCTAATGAAATAAAGTACCTATAAATTTTATACTACAGGATTTGAAAATCTACAGAATCTCTTTTACCCAAATTTCTTGTTAAAATAATTTATTCGTTTTGTATTTATCATTTTGTATATATTTATCATAACCTTGTATTGGTGTGGCACAGTTACCTCGATTTAATATAAAATTTTATTTTTTATCAGCATCAAAGAGAGTTGCAGCTTCAAAAAGAAGGATAATGATGCAAGACTCGGATGATGAAACGCCTGCTAAGAGGCAAAGAATTCTCACATCCAAAGTGCTATCATTCAGGCCAAGCTTTCAGCCTTCAACCCGAGACAAAATCAATTGGGCAGCTGCAAGGAAACGACGGCCTGCACCCAAGTCCAGTTCTGGAAAATGGCCTCAAAGAAATGGTAAGCCATAATTACATCAAAATAATTGATGTGAATTATGTTAGCGGAAAAAACTCAAAACTAGCTACTGCCACATTTGAGATATCCATAATGATTTGAATCTTGATTTATACCTGCTAATATTGTTAAAATTTGACAATATTTTACAGATTTCGAGAGTTAGAAGCCTTGAAAATTGAAATTACCTTAGACCTGAAGCCATTGTGTATTGAAGTCTGATTTACTTTATTATTCCATTAATTGTAGCAAAAAATGCCGATGGATCAACTGATGACGATGAAGAAGGTGATGAGGACGACGAAGAGGGAAATTTGGAAGATGATGAAAGAGAGAATAACGAAGGAGAAGAAAATATGGAGGACAATGGACAGGAGGATGAAGAGGAAGAAGACACCAATGACGAGGGAGAAATGAACGCAGAAGAGGAGCTGGAGAGCATGTTATCCGAGTACAGGGAAATGTTTGGCAAGGCTGTTACTGTGGACATGTCCAAAGAAAATGCCATTGCCAATGGAAACGTAGAGCAGGCTAAAGAAGAGCTCAAAGAGAACCAGAAAGCTAAGCATGAATGTGAAAATTGTGTTGCACAGAAGGAAGAAATAGAACACCTTGAAGAGATGATAAAGCTCAAGGATGTTGAAATGCAGCAAATTCTGGCAACTGTCAACTCAGCCAAGAGTATGGGTCAGAAATTTCCTACAAGTTTAAGCGAGAATATCAAGAAACGAATATCATACCATAAACTGTACCTCGAGGCCGAAAAGAAGATGCATAGCAGCCTCATTGACTCTAAGAAGTGGGAGGCAAAACACATCGCAGCTGCCAAGAGAGTCAAAGAACTAGAGCAAAAATGCGAGGCTCTCGAGCTCAAACTAAAATCGGAAATGAAGAAACAGGCTCATAAAACTCCTGGGTTTGTTGAAGTTCCTGCTGCTAAAATGAAAGAGTTCATAGAAATTAAGAACTTCCATTACAAAAACTGCAATAAAATGCACAACAAACTTGAGCATCTCTCCAAGGAGAATGCGACTGTGGTTCAAACCCTCCAGAGAAGTGAGCAAGAGTTCAAGAACAAATTCTTGCGAATGAAGAAGCATTATAACATGTTACTTGAGTATTATCTTCAGAAGGATGCTCGTCTGTCGAAACGAAAGGATTTCCTTGACAAGAAGATGGCTGTGTACAAGGATGTTGGCAGCAGGCACCAAATTCTCAGAGATGCTGCCAAGTATCTCAATGAAAATCAATTAGTGTTTCTATCGGGTCAGTTGTCCACTGAGAAGAATCTCACGGGCAAGGGGAATTGCTTGCCTTCAAACTACCGCGAGTTGCTACTGTCAATTTTCCAGCGCAGCTCCACAGCTTATAAGGTACTGAAGAGCTTCGGTTTTAATTTTCCCCCCGTGTTGTCCATACAACAGCTGGCTCAGTCTGAAGCTGTGCGGCCCAGCGAAGGCTCCTACGCGATGCTTGGGATGAAGAGCAGACCAGTACCCGCCCATAAACGCACGCTCAGAGCGCTGTGTTCTGACGAAGAAGATGAGGAAATAGCGGACCTGCTTGACGCGTCAACGGCGCAGCACAATCAGAGCATCGTCACTGACGAGGAAGCAGAGGACGGCGTAGACGGGGACTACGGTGACGTGCAGCCTGAGGAGATCAACGAAGAAGAGGAAGAAGAGGGTGGAGCAGATTACCTCTCAGACGATGAACCTAAATTCCCCAGCAAGCTGAAGGAGGCGCAAACTGCCGCCGCCGGAGGAGACGAACTCCAGCAAGAGTACCAGACGGACATCCAGGAGCAGCTAGATAATCAGCTCTCCAGTGAGCTCACTGCGGAACCCCAATTTGAGACCGTGGAAGCCGACGGTGTCATGTCCGATCATTCACTGGCAGAGCAAGTGGATGTCATGGAACAAGTTGTACGTCGGGTGACGGACGTAGTCCAACTGGAGTCTTTAGATCCCATCCAGACCGACCAGATTCAGGAGCAAATCGAAATTGACGACAGTTTGGCTGGACCTGATGAAGCGGCAACAGTTGTTGATGGAACAGCTGTGGTTGTCACCACCACCGACAGTGTGACCGTCCCGGCCGTTGGTGCGAACGATGTCGTTGTCAGTGACATTCAACTGCCTAGCGCGGCTGCGGAGCCGGACGTCGCAGTAGCAACTAATGTTGACGCGCCCGTCACGTCTCCAGAGGTGCCCGAGAATATTGAAATTGCAGCTGAGACACAAGATGATGAGTCCGCTTTGTAGTGAGCAACACTTCAATGTTACTCGACTCTACCCAGGAAATGAATTTCAATGTTTGATATTTTTTTTAATATCGATTGTCATGGCATCCAGCGTATTCAGAAGCAAGATTATAAATGTAACATTAAAGTTTTTGTGTGTTGGCACTGGGATTCGGGAATGAACAATGACAAATAAATGTATAATTTTTCATTTCTTATCATAAGGAATAAGACAGTTACGCCTTAGGAATGATCACAGTTGCTTATTCTTTGAAAACTTAATTTGTTAACAAGAAGTCATACAATTTAACACTAGGATGTGACTTAACTAATTTTTGATGCAGTTTTGAATTGTACTATTGATGTACATGTTGAATATTACAGCATTTGACAATGACGTGGAATTTTCATAATTATTAATGTTCAGTTCGACGTAATGGTTATAATTTTTGAGAACAGGTCTTTAAAAAAGGAAATTAGCGACCCAGAGAATATTATATGATCCTTTACATTACAAACTACATGATCTGCAATGAAAACTAGATTTTCGGATGTAAATAGTGTGAATAAAAGTTGATGTCGCTATTAGGTAGTTTCTTCTAAATCTACAAAAGGTTATCTTCTTGTTAAAAAATTTATTGTTGCTTATAGGACGAAGATATACCTATGCAAAATCTCTCAATCATTGCATAACATCCTGGCACTTTCGTCAATTCTCAATTTGTTAACAGAAACTGAGCGATGGCATTGTCTCGTTTTCTCTATATCCAAACATGTTCACCTTAGGTACAAAATAATGATAACTGTAAATATATTCTTACACGACTCCGTTATTAATTTCCGATACTTTAAAAATAGATTGGCGGCGCTAGAAATCCTGAGCTGAGATAAGATGTTAGTCGTGGTCTAGCGATATTTTTGATGACTATGAATCTCCTTGGCTATTTCTGGGCACGGCTTAAAATTTCAGGTGCGCGCTGGGATTAAATATTTCAATGCAATTACCACTATTTCGAAAGGATATAATAAAGGTACAGAATTTGCCAGGTTTGTATTACCACAACCGTATGGACATGAAATTCTTTGAATATGCATTAGCTTTACTTGGTTAGAACTTTCAGGTGAAAAAAATACGGAATTGTGATATCTTGATGGGAATCAGGTAGAAGAGATTCGTGCGATAAGAATGTCTAGCTTCAAAGCAGTGCTGGCTCACAGTCAACTCTTTGAGCTAAGCAATCTAATCTGTGAACTAAGAGAATAACTAAAGAGTTTCGTACAGAACTAGTTTTTTTCAGTGTGTTTGTCTATCAACCACATTTTAGATTAAGAGTACATTTGCAAGGCACCTTACCTTCAGTAGCTCAGCAAGCAGCTGACGCCAGACCTGCAAGATGTTTGTTGCATTGATCCAGTTATGGTTGATGGACAGCGTGTCTTCCTGCTCAGAGAAAAACTTGCTACTCTCAGTCCTGCCAATATTTAGCCTGATTTTACTCTTATCTCTTGAATTACAAAGTATTGGTACAACAGCACAGGTATTAGGGTTGCAGCACAAATTGCATGATAGGTCCATTCTTCAGTGTAAAAGCTGATTAAACATACGTATTCAGGATTATGTGAATTAATCCTAGACTTTATTGTATGAAATGAATGTTATCAGGGAAACATGGATTCACATTTCTAACTAACAGCTCACCAAGTTCCAGACTTGGTGATGCCATCCTGAAGGCACAAAGATGGTCTCCCCCGGCTCCTGAATCACCGTCAAGGCTCCTAGTGCATCCAAGCTGTCAACAAGTGCCTGCTTATAACTTATGCAAATATTTTCACAAAATATATTAATATTTTTATCGAAAATTTATAATTTTTCGCTAAGAAAATTACTAGTAGTAAGTTCAATTCAAGTTTTAACCAATTTTACTAACTTGCATCTGGTAGTTTCAATTAGGCTGAATAATGTTGCAAGCACAAAGTGCGCCCCAGGAGACAAATGCAACTCAATTTATGACGGAACAATGAATACCACAGTTGAATAGTTTTTGCATTATTAACAATTCACCAATTTGAATATATTTTAACAGGCTAAGCACAAATCTAAAATAATAATAAGTAGCGGTTGCAGCGTTTAGTAGGCCGTAGGCCTGTCGCCGATTCTTAACTTCGCAGAACATTCACAGCCTTTTTGCGGTATCGAACTCGCAACTCACTGCTACAATTCTGCTGTGCTTAACCGCCCGGCCTCCTCGCCGATTCTGACCAGAAACTGGCGCACAGAGCTGGGATCGAACCCGCGCCTCCCTCAATCTTGGAACTCTGAACTTTAACCACTGGGCCAACCTTCCTAAATATCTTCTTCCAACTGGATATATATAGATATATAAATTGATAAAATTGATTCCATTATTACATAATATGAACTAAGTAAGTTTGCTGTCACAGAACATTGATGGCTGTTTTACATTCTGCGCTTCCTGATTTACATGACAAGGAGCCAATGATAATAATATGAAGAATGATACGGTAAAACTCACTTCTGGCCGCTCTTGGCGATGTCATAAGGCAAAGAACCCATACAGTCCTTTAAACTTTCTTCAGCACCAGGAGGGAAAAAAATCCATTTCTTGCGGCCACACACGTTGGCTGACCAGCTGTATGATTGGAAGACATCTGCATGGAATGGTGTCCTGTTCAAGAATTTCATTCATTTTATGAGGGTATTGAAAATTTTCTTCAGTAAGCCATTGCCTTGTTATAAGAAAATATTGAAAAACATGAGCTTATGTCCCAGTTACTTATTTCGAAGGTTTCTTCTTCAATGTGCGACAAATTCAGTTGATGTGATACCAAAATTATGTCTTGTGAAGAACTGAATAGTATATTTTTTCTTCTATGCTTCAAGGAGAACAGACAATGGGATAAATTCTTCAACATGAAACTTGGTGGAATCAGACATTCAACAATTAATTTAATGTATTCTAAAACTCATATAGTAATACAAACTCACATCTGAGCTTAAGTTACAAGTCTTACCAGCTGCCCTTTGGTCCCAGGTAGACGAAGCGATAGTCATCTTGGCTGTCCTCACGCTTCTCCCAGAACTCATTCAGCCAGTCAGAGCAAAAGAATATTGGGGTCCTGTAAATCTTGGCTTCAGGATAGGCTCTCACAAAATGCCAATCCTGCAAGCCAACCAAATTTCTTGACTTTACTGGATATAAATTTATATTCCCATTGCTGAAGATATTTTTTCTAATACATTTAAAATAATTTTTGTGGAATTTATTGAAAGATTTTATTCTAAAAATATTTGAAAAATGAAAAGATATTAGCTGAATTAAAATAATTTGTGGAATTATTGAAATATTGAAGGCATTAGACAACAAAACTGCATAGATGATAGAGTTTTTAATGCTGAGATATCAGATAAGGTCATTCAAAATTTCCAAATCAAAATCTACTACATCTATTACTGTGAATGCTAACAAAAAATTCTTTCAGACAGCAATAAACCTAATTCAATATGTCCAGTTCAAATGAAAGAGATGAAAATATATTACAGCCAACTTATATGCAACATCAATATATGCACACCTTGAGATAGAGGCATTTTTGATGGGACTTGTTCTCTTCACACTTGTGATTCAGCCAGTACTTAGAGAGATAGTTTTTCAATAGAAATGTTTCTTTCTGCTGAGAATTATAATGCTTTTGGTCACAATCAGCAACAGGAACTTCTGCAAGACCTGAAAATCAAAAAATGGTAAATGTTTTGTTGGCAAAGAGCAATGTTTAAAATTTAGAAATACAAATAATTTAGCATTTAGGTATGGTATAGGTAGTTTTCTTGGATATTATAAAATTCAATCTCTTAATTTTTAGTGGTCATGTAAAAATTTTCCAGGAATAGTGAGCAATGTAACTCAAATATTACAATGAGAATAATTTAAAGAAAGCAATTAATAAAAATATACCTGAATGTTATAACAGGATATATTTTAGGCAAGAGCCCTTGGCCCTTCGTTCAACTATTTAAGCCTGTTTTATTAGCTATTACAATAAAAATTTGAAAGCTATTACTTTCAAAATTGAGACCCCATGGGCCATGACTGAGTCCTAATGTCAATGTCATTGCAAGGAACCTAGAAAAATAACATTTTTTGCAATTTAAATGAAAAATCAGCATTTTTTCATTAAATGAATTAGTTAATATATAAAAAAATTATATTTTCAATGTAAAAGTTCAATGTCAGCATCCATATTAGACCAGATCATCCAGAATCCAGATGACCTAATCCAAAACAAAATTAAAAAAAAAGCAAATTTTCATCAAATTTGTCAACTTTTCATCAAATTTGTCAACTTTTCATCAAGTTAGCTAGCCATTGAATATAAAAGGATGGATGGGACAGCAATATAATATATAAATTTAAATTAAGATAGAGATATTTATTACAGCATATGTGTTTTCATAGAATTAGGCTATACCTACCGGTACTCTAATAATAATATGCGTTTAAAATTACTTTTTAAAGACTACACTTCCAAAGAATCCAGTGTCTCCAATCTTACAGATGTACAATCACTACAATGAATTTCTCATTTAATTTTCGAATTAAAAAAATTAGTTTTTCAATTTTTTTAATATATATATATTTTTTCAAAATTAATTATTCCATTAATTGATTCATGCATTGCCTCTGACTTCACAGAAGTGTGCAAAATTTTAGATCAATTAGACAGGTAGGTAAAACTGTAAAAGTGTGTCAGATATTAGTTATAAGATTTGTAGCTGACAAAATTATTTTTTTAATTTTTTTTAATATTTAAAAATTTTTTTAAATTTTTCAAATCTTTTATTTTGACATTTGATTCATGCATTTTCTCCAACTTTACACAAGTGTGCAAAATTTCAGATCGATAGGATAAGTAGAAGTGTGTAGTGTGTTAAATTTTTCATTATAAGATTTGTAGCAGTCTAGCAGACAGACAGACAGACAAACAAACAGACAAGAAGTGAAGTTAAAGAGAAGTGTTGTAAAAAGAATCAAAAGTAACGGTAAAAGGCTATGACTCTTATGTCTTATCTTATAAAGTTATAGGCCTAAGTAATGTAAGTATCGTATTTTTGCAAATGAATCATAACTTCATAAGCATAATCAAGATGTTTTTTGGAGTAAATAGAAAAATAATGTTTAAAAGAATAATAAAATACCAACCGTATTTATGAACTAGATGATCCACGTCGATTTTGTTGTCACTAACCCAGATCTTTCGAGCTGCCCATTCAGCAGTTAGCCATGACTGAAAAATGCACGGTAAATTGGGTTCCATATAGCGACGAAAAAATGTATCATAAGTGAATTCGTTGCTAACAGACGGAAACAACGAGAGCTCATCTCCAAGTTGAATATTTTTGCTAACAACTGGCGACTGCAATTCAATCATTTTCCTCATACAACCTGAATGTTCAACAGTTCAACATGATAATGAACGTGTCCTTGTTCATTCATTTCTGTCACTCCTCAAATCAAAACAGTGCCAGAATGGTAAGCGCAACGTAAGTTCAACTTAGAGTGTAACCTGGAGGAAAATGGTTACCAAAACTTGCGGGTAATATTGAAAATGGACCTCAAGATAGAAATGATAATTAATGAATGGTCAAAACAAATTAAAATAATAGAGATAATTTAAATAAAGTACAAATTTTGATAGAACTGCAAAATTTCATTGTGTTTGGCCACAGTGAACTTTCCATTTACGTGTAAATACTTGAGTTTCGTGTCTCCATTGGGTTTACATTACGTGATAAAAGGACCAACACACGCAGTCACAACAGAATCCACGTCGTCTGCAACTTGCGACTGACAGTCAGCTGGCACACCCGAGAGTGAGTGTGTGCTGGTGCAGAGATTCGAAAAAATATAGTGATCATCACATCCGATTTACAAAAAAATGTTCACAAACGTCATTCATTATAGTTTTTGCATTGTTTAATATTAGATTTCATGCTTTTTGTTCATTTCCTGCTCACTGGATCTATTTTTTAGACAAGAAATGTTCACGCAATTATTCAACACTCAACAGATGGAATCTCTGTTACGATTTTTGCCGATTGCGTTTATTGGAGCGTCCGTGCAAACTTATTGAAAAATTAGAACATAATATTTCTTTATTCCGGTGTATTTCAGGTGCATTTTGCCGATATCATTTGCGGTTCCAAGGTTTGCATTAAGTTTAGGTTAAAAATCTACCACTGCTGGAGCTGGTGACTGAATGGGCAACCAATGTATTTCATACTATTTGGGCTTGAACGTTCATTGCATTAAGAATTTTAATTGTTCTCAATTCACTATCATTCTCACATGATATGACTCAGTTTTGTGAATTAAAATTGTGCAAACATGGTTTAAACGCGTTTCTTAAAGTTAGATGGAATTTGGAAATAGTTTATTTTAAATAAAAACGGTGAAATTGTATGGCCATTCATGTCAGTACAGATGAGTTACTAAATGAACAAGTGAAGTTGTTATTCAACGAATAATGGTAACTTTTAATTAAACGTCAGGTGAAAGTTTACGTTATAGTTGAAGTTGACAATACATATAACATGGAATCTCAAATTCGACGAAAAATTTGATTTTCAATTTAAAGCACTCACTTTAAAATAAAATAATTATATATATTATTGAGTGTCAAGTTTAACAAGATGAAGACCGAATCCAAAAACGAAACTTCTTTGTCAAACGCAAACGGACGCACCGACGAATCATTGGAATCGAACACCGAAAACGAGGAGATGGAGCCTGCTTCGACTGCGTGCCCCAGCTCTCAGCTGATGCTCGGCTTGCTCGACGAGTTCACTCAAATTTATAAGGACAAGCTCGAGCGGCTCGAGAATTCTTCTCTCAAGATGGAGGAAAAAAATTATTTACAAGTGAGTACATTTTTCTACCTATTATTCAACAAATATTATAATGGTGGGCAGGGTGGCCCAAATAAATAGGGCAGGTTGGCCCAGTGGGGGTACCGTTAGTACCATGCAGAGATTGGAGCAAAGAGGCGCGGGTTCGATCCCAGCTCTGTGCGCCAGTTTCTGGTCAGAATCGGCGAGGAGGCCGGGCGGTTAAGACCAGAAGAATTGGAGCAGTGAGTTGCGTGTTCGAAACCGCAACAAGCTGTGAATGTTCTGTGATGTTAAGAATCACCGACAGGCCTACAACCTAGGAAATGCTGAAGCCGCTATTATTATTATTATTATTATTATTATTATTATTATTATTATTATTACTACTACAGGGTGCGCCTGAGAAACTTACTTATTTGAAAAAATTCCTCTGCGGTTAGTTGGTCGGGTAGAGGGGCGAGAGGGGGTGCATCTGAAGGAGAAAGTTCCCAAGTTTGTTTCTCAAAGTTTTTCAAATACATTTGCTGTTGTGCAAGAATTAACTGAACGCGATTTTGCTGCCCGTCAAATGCATGTGAAATGCTGGTTGACAACCTGCCTGAAGACGCGATCGTTATTTTCAGTGACGAGGCTCACTTCCACATTTCCGGCTGCGTCAACAA